CCTCTCCAGGTCCCCACCCTTGCACCTCCCTCATAGGCCCTGCCTCTATAGAGCTCCACCCCCGCTCCTCCCTCATAGGCCCCGCCCCCGCAGGGCCCGCCTCTCCAGGGCCCCGCCCCGCCCCCACAGGCCCCGCCTCTCCAGGGCTCCGGCCCCGCCCCTCCCCACCGCACTCACGGCCGCAGGCTTCGCGGTTGCACTGGCGGCCCTCCTCCAGCACCCCCTCGCAGCTGCCGCCCTCCACGCCCTGCGCGGGCAGGCAGGTGCGCGTCCTCGTCTGCAGGCCTCCCCCGCAGTCTCGCGTGCATTCGCCCCACAGGGACCACAGCTTCCAGCCGCCTGCTGGTAAACCAGAGGGCAGGGATCAGGGCAGGGCAGGGCAGGGCAGGGGCTCGTGGCCTGGACAGGATGAGTGGTGGGGTGTGAAGCCAGCCGAGGCCTGCCCGGCTGGGGAGGGACTGCAGTGGCGTGGAAGGCCTGGCTGGGGAGGATCTGGGGGTCCGGAGTCTCCCCAGCTCCCGGGTTCCCTTTGGAGAGCTTAGGTCATGCCTGAGCTGGAAGGGTCCCCGTGTGCCAGCTGCAGCCAGGCAGGTTTGCGGCCTGCATGAAGAAGGGGTGACCTCGCCCACCCCAGGGCTGCCTCACAGCACAGCATCCCGCTGATGGGCAGAGGGTAGAGGGGCCTGGCCGCCAAGGCTCCCTTTCCCCGCGTGCCTGGAAGCCCTCCCCAGGCCCCATCCAGTTTCTGGCCAGGCCCTGCTCATCAGAGCCTGTTTCCACACAGGTTCAGTGGAGGGTCACCATCCTCATCACCAGGGCCAAGAACACTCTGGGCCGCCTGTGGTCCTGGAGCACTGGGTAGTCGTGGAGGGGTGGCCTCTGTGCTCGAAGCAGGAGAGGACCACTGCCGTCTGTGGGCCAGAGGGGCAGCAGCACTAGGAGGCCGGGAAGGAGCTGCCGCGTCCAGGCCTCCCGCCCAGCACTCTGGCCTCCACCTTCCTTCGGATGCCTGTGCGGATGCCTGGGCTCACGCACACCCAGTGCACCAGGGTCGGGTGACTTGGAAAGGGCATGCAGCCCTCACCAAGTGCCTCCTCCTGGCCTGGCCAAGGTGGCAAGGAGACAGCTGACAGCCCCCACGAAGGGACCCACCATGGAGCCGGGGCCATTGCCCCATGGTGCCACTGGGGAGCACTAAGGATCCGGCCACTCCACCCCGGGTACAGCAAGGGAGGCCCCAGGGGCAGCAATCAGGCCAACGGCAGGCCACCCCCACCCACCAGAGGGCACCAGGGCCTGTTGGAGCCTCAGGAAGGGGGCCCCCACCTCCCTTGGTGCCAGCCGCCAGGTTTCCGTGGTGCCCCCCCCCACCATGGTCCAGGCTGTGACCTCTCAGGACTGACCAGTG